GAGGAGGAGGAGGAGGAGCAGCAGGAGGAGGAGGCCGGAGGGTGCCCCGGAGGCTGGGAGGAGGCCGGGTGCGGAGGCTGGTGGCCCTGGGCCTCGCGCAGGCGCCGGCGGCAGCGCTCGAGCTTGCGCTGCAGGCGCGCGATGCCCTGCGCCGAGCGCTGGTTCTTCTTCTCGAAGGCCTGCTTGACGCGCGCCGCCTGCTGCCGCTCCGCGCCGCCCGCCAGCCGCAGGTACTCGGCCACGTCCGCGTCGCGCGCCGCCTGCGCCACGCGCAGCTGCTCCGTCAGCCGCAGGATCTTCTGCTGCACGTGCGCCAGCGCCTCGGGCGGCGCGGAGGAGGCGGCGGCGAGGCCCGCGGCCTCCGCGGGGAAGGAGGCGGAGGCCCCGGCGGCGGCGGAGGCCGGGGTGCACGAGGACGAGGAGGACGAGGAGAAGGCGGTCGCCGCTGCTGCAGGGGAGAAGCTGCTCACCTCCAAGCGCTCGATCTGCAAGGGAGAGAGAAAGCAATGAGTGAGGAGGAGGGGGCGTTAGGGCCCAGCGAGCCGCTGCCGATCGGCAGCGAAATGCGTTGGAAATTGACGCGGGAGAGCGAGAATCCGGAGTGAAATGCGTTGGAAATTGACCCACGCCGGTGACAATCAGGAATGAAATGCGTTGGAATTTGACTCCCGAGCGCCAATCCGGAATGAAATGCGTTGGAAATTGACTGACGCCCTCCGGTGACAATCAAGAATGAAATGCGTTGGAATTTGACACCCGAGCGCCAATCCGGAATGAAATGCGTTGGAATTTGACGCCCAAGCGCCAATTTGGAATGAAATGCGTTGGAAATTGACGCCCGAGCGCTAATCCGGAGTGAAATGCATTGGAAATTGACTCCCGAGTGCCAATTCGGAATGAAATGCATTGGAAATTGACGCCTGAGCGCCAATCCAGAGCGAAATACGCTGGGAATTGACGCGGGAGCGCCAATTTGGAGTGAAACGCGTTGGAAATTGACACGCGAGCACCAATTCTGAGTGAAGTGCACTGGGAATTGACTCGCGAGCACCAATTTGGAGTGAAATGCGTTGGAAATTGACGCGGGAGCACCAATTCGGAGTGAAATGCGCTGGGACTTGACCCGAGAGCACCAATCCAGAATGAAATGTGTTGGAAATTGACACGCGCGAGAGAATCCGGAGTGAAATGCACTGGAAACCGACGAACCCAAGCAACGAACCCGAGCGCGACAATCCCGCTGGAAATTGACGCCTGAGCGACAGTCTAGAGTGAAAAGCGCTGGGAATTGACACGCCAGCGACAATCCCGCTGGAAATTGACGTGGGAGCGACAATCTGGAGTGAAATGCGCTGGGAATTGATGCCCGCGAGCCACAACCCGGAGTGAAATACCCTGGAAACTGACACTCACTAGCGACAATCCAGGAGTGAAATGCGCTGGGAATTGACACGTGTGAGGGATAATCTGGAGCTGGAAATTGACATGCAAGCTATAGTCTGGAGTGAAATGCGCTGAGAATTGACACGTGTGAGGGATAATCTGGAGCTGGAAATTGACACGCAAGCTATAGTCTGGAGTGAAATGCGCTGGAAACTGACAGTGCGTTCAACAAGGAGGCCTGGTACGGAGGCTGAGCACCTGCTAATGATGCTAGCTAGCGATCTGGGAGGCCGAGGCAGGAGGATCGCTCGAGGTCGGGAGTTGGAGGCCAGCCTGAGCAAGAGCGAGACCCCGTCTCTACTAAAAATAGAAAATTAGCTAGTGTTTGGGGCACGCCTCTCATCCCAGCACTCTGGGAGGATCGCTCGAGGTGAGGAGTTGGAGGCTACCTCAGTGGAGGCCGCCAGGGTGAGGCTGCGCACCTCCAAGCGCTTGATCTGCGGGGAGAGAGAGAGACAAAGCAAAGAGGAAGGAGCGTTAGAGCCCAGCGCAGCCAATCGGCAGCGAAATGCGCTGGAAATTGACGCATGCCCGAGTTCCAATCTGGAGTGAAATATGCTGGAAATTGACATGCCTAAGCGACAATCCAGAATGAAATGGACTGAAAACTGACAATGAGCACAATAAGGAGGCCTGGTGCGGAGGCTCAGAGCCTGCCAGTGATGCTAGCTAGTGATCTGGGAGGCCAAGAAGGGAGGATCGCTCGAGGTGAGGAGTTGGACGCCACCTCAGTGGAGGCCGCCGGAGCGAGGCCCAAGCGCTCCACCTGGGGACAAAAGCAACAGGAAGGAGCATTAGAGCCCAGCGCCAATCTGCGGTGAAAGGCGCACTGGAAACTGACAGTGCGCTCAGTTAAGGAGGCCCGGCACAGAGGCTCAGTGCCTGCTGATGCTAGCTAGGGATCTGGGAGGCCGAGGAGGGGAGATCGCGGGAGGTCAGGAGTTGGAGGCCGGCCTGAGCAACGGCGAGACCCAACCCCCTTCCCTACTAAAAAAA